TTCATTGCAGCACTGTTTACAATAGCAAAGACCTGGAACCAACCCAAATGCCCATCGATGATAGACTGGACAGGGAAAATGTGGCACATATACACCATGGAATATTATGCAGTGATCAAAAATGATGAGTTTGTGTCCTTTGTAGGGACATGGATGAACCTGGGAAACCATCGTTCTCAGCAAACTGACAGAAGAGCAGAAGATCAAACACCACATGTTCTCACTCATAGGCGGGTATTGAACAATGAGAACACATGGACACAGGGAGGGGAGCACTACATGCTGGGGTCTGTTGAGGGGAAATAGGGGAGGGACTTTGGGAGGTGAGGAGTTGGGGATAGATAGCAAGGGGAGGGATGCCAGATGTAGGTGATGGGGAGGAAGGCAACAAATCACACTGCCACGTGTGTACCTATGCAACAATCTTGCATGTTCTTCACATGTACACCAAAACCTAAAATGCAATAAAATAAATAAATGGAAAAAAAAGAATACAATACAGCCTTGTTAACAATGTTCGCATTGTTGTCTATTAGTTCTTCAGATCTCATTCATTCTGCATAAATGAAACTTTGTATCCTTGACCAACATCTCATTATTTACCCCTCCCCCAGCCCCTCGCGGCAGCATTCTACTCTGTATTTCCATAAGGTTGAGTGTTTCAGATTCCACATGTAAGTGAGATCATGCAGTATTTGTCTTTCTGTGTCTGGCTTATTTCACTAAGCATAAGGTCCTCCGTGTTTATCCATGTTGTCACAGATGTCAGGATTTCCATTTATTTTAAAGGCAGAATGATATTCCATTGTGTGTGTGTGCGCGCATGTGCACTTGCGTGTGTGTGCCACGTTTTCCTTATTCATTCATCTGTTAATGGATATTGGGATTATTTCCATATCTGGGCTATTGCGAATAGTGCTGCAATGAACAGGGGAGTACAAATACCTTGAAGACGTACTGATTTCATGTCCTTTGGATATATAGCCAGAAGCTGGATTATAAAGTAGCTGTATTTTTGCTTATTATTATTATCATTTTTGTGTGAGCCAAAGATTGATTTCTTCATTTCTCGCATTTGAAGTACTCTTCGATGACATCTTTGGCCTGAGACTCCTTGTCATAATCCTTAACTAATACACAGCTGCAATTAACCACTTTATAGGGCTTCCCCTCTCTGTCAGTTTTACAGGGGCCTACCCATTCCCCTAGTTTCTTGTCTTCAACCTTAATTAGGTTGATTTGGTGTTCAGCACAAAGGGCCTCCATCAACTTGACATACATGGGCTCATCACAGTTGGATGCTCGCACACAAAGATGGGCTTGGCATTTGTCTAAGTCTTTGGGAGCCTCGTGAATTCCACGTACTAGGCCATCATGGATAAGGGCGGTCTTCAGCACCTCTTGTAAAGCGGTATTAAAGTGCATTACACCTCCAGCAGCAATGCCTTCCTCGGCCATGGCGGTGGGTGATGGGTGAAGCCGAATCTTGAATGCACCCAAGCTTCCACCTCTGCACGACGCGGTGGTGGCAGGGAAAGAGCATATTTTTGATTATCTGAAGGAGCTTCCATACAGTTTTCCATAATGGTTGTACCAATTTATATTCCCATCATCAATGTACAAGAGTTCCCTTTTCTTTGCATCCTCACCGATACTTACCTTTTGTCTTTTTTATAGTAGCCATTCGAATGAGTGTGAAGTGATAGGTCACTGTGGTTTTCATCTGCATTTCCTTGGTAATTACAGATATTGGACATCTTTTGATATGCCTACTGACCGTTTGTATGTTTACTTTTGAAAAATGTCTATTTAAATCCTTCCTCCTTTTTAAAAATCAGGCTGTTTGTTTTGTTTTGCTATTGAGTTTTATTAGTTGTTTACATATTTTGGATATCAATCCTCTATCAGATAATAGTTTGCAAATACTGTATTCTTTCCGTAGGTTACCTTTTCACTCTGTTGATTATTTGCTGTGTGGATGCTTTTTAGTTTGATGCAATTTTGATTGTCTATTTTTCATTTTGTTGCCTGTGCTTTCAGTGTCATATCTAAAATATCATTGCCCTGACCAACGTCAAGAAGTGTCTCCCCTGCATCTTCCTCTAATAGTTTTGTGTCTTTAGGTGTTACAGTTAAGTCTTTAATTCATTTGGGGTAGATTTGTGTATATGATGTGATATAAGTTCCACTTTCATTTTTCTCCATGTGGATATATAGTTTTCCTAACACCATTTATTGAAGAGATTATCTTTTCCTAATAGTGTGTTCTTGTCACCTTTGTTAAAAATCATTTGGCCATAGATGCGTGAATTTATACTCAGGCTCTCTATTCTGTTCCATTGGTTTAAATGTCCTTTTTTAATGTTAGTAAAACATTCTGCTTTGATTACCATAGCTTTATAATATAATTTGAAGTTAAGAAGTGTGATGCTTCCAGCTTTGTTCTTCTTGCTCAAGATTGTTTTAGCTATTTGTGATCTTTTGTGGTTCCATATGAATTTTTGAATTTCCTTTATTTCCATAAAAAGCACCATTGAGATTTTTGATAAGGATTGCATTGAATTTGTAGGTTATTTTCAATAGTATGCACCTTTAAACAATATTAATTCTTCCAATCCATGAACACAGACCTCTTTCCATTTCTCTGTCTTCTTTCATTTCTTTCATTAATGTTTTATAACTTTTAGTGTACAAATCTTTTACCAGTTTATTCCTAAGTATTTTCTTCTTTTTGTTGCTATTGTGAATGACATTGTTTTCTTCCTTCCTTCCCTCCTTCCTTCCTTCCTCCCTCCCTCCCTCTCTTCCTTCTCCTTTCTTTCTTCCTTCCTTCCTTCCTCCCTCCCTCCCTCCTTCTCTTCCTTCCCTTTCCTTCCTCCCTCCCTCCCTCCCTCTCTTCCTTCCCCTTCCTTCCTTCCTTCCTTCCTTCCTTCCTTCCTTCCTTCCTTCCTTCCTTCCTCACTCTCTCTCTTTCTTTCTTATCTCAAGATCTCACTCTGTCACCCAGGTTGGAGTGCAGTGGTGTGATCATGGCTCACTGCAGCCTTGACTTCCCTATGCTCCATGCCCAGCTTATGTGACTCTCTTGTAGACACCGTATCACTGGATTTTATTTTTCAAGTCCATTCAACCATTCTATGCTTTTTGACTGGAGAGTTTAATTCATTTACATTTAATGTAATTGTTAATAGGTGAGGACTTAAGTATTGTCATTTTGTAAATGGTTTTCTGTCTGTTTTGTGGTTGTTTTTTCTCTCTTCCCCTTTTGCAGTTTTCCTTGCTTATTTCATGATTTTTTGCATTGATTTGCTTTCATTATTTTCTTTTTATCTTTTTTTGTATCTATTATTACTTTTTCTTCATTGTGATTAGCTTGAGGCTGACATAAAATATCTTATGGCTATAATGGTCTACTTTAAATCGATAACAATTTAATTACATACAAAAACTTGACAGTTTTACTCTCCCCTCTTTGTGTCGAAGTCCGCAAGGGTAAAAAAAGGCAGGTGTTGGTGGTGGCTGAGGCTGCTGGAGTCATCCTGTTCTCCTTTTCTCCCATGGGGGACAGTCATAGCCAAGGGGATCCTTTTGGAGCCAAGGTGTGCCAGGCTGGGAGATGGGGTGTTGCAGATAAAATGCTTTTCATGCTTTCCTTTGTGTCGATCCTGTTTTTGGGCTCTACTGAGTTGCTGAAATTTCTTTTTTGTAATCAGGACTTCTCCCAGAGCTATTTTATCAGTGGATAAATCTTAAATTGTGGGGAGTGTGGACTAAAATATCATAGTTTGCCATCTTGCTGATGTCACTCTCAAAATAGAACTTTTCATTTTGAGATAATTGTTGCCTCATACACAATTGTAAGAAATAATATAGAGAGATAACATATATTCTTTACCCAATTTCTCCTAAAGGTAACATCTTGCAAAGCTATAGTACAATATTACAATCAGGGTCTAAGCATTGATATAGTAAAGATACAGAACAATTCCATCACTGCAAAGATCCCTGTGCTGCCCTTTTGTAACCACACCCACTTTCTTCCTATTCCCATCCCTTCTTTAACCCCTGGGAACCACTGATCTGTTCTCTATTGCTATAATTTTGTCACTTCAAGAATGTTATATAAGTGGGATCACTATGTAAACTTTTTGGATTCCCTTTTCCCCCACCTAGCATAATTTTCTGGAGATTCACCAACATTGTTATATCCATAGTTTTTTCCTTCTTAGTGCTGAGTAGAATTCCGTGGTATGGATGAACCATGGTTTATCTAACCATTAATCTACTGAAGGACATCCAGGCTGTTTCCAGTTTCTGGCTATACACATAAAGCTTCTGTTAACATTCATACATAGCTTTTTATGTAAACATAAACCTTTATTTTTCTGGGACAAAGGCTCAGAGGTGCAGTTGTTGGGTTGTATGCAAGTTGCATATTTAGTTTTCTAGGAAACTGTGAACTCTTTTCCAGAGCTGTTGTATTCCCTAGCAATGTATAAGTGATCCATTTCTCCACATCCTCATCAGAATCTCGTGTGGCCACTAGTTTTTACTTTAGCCATTATGACAGTTGTGTAGTGATGTCTCATTGTGGTTTTAATTTGTATTTCCCTGATGGCTAATAATGTGCATATATACATATATATATAAATATATATCTATATATAATATGTGTGTGTGTGTATACACACACACACACACACATATATATGCACAGAGAGAGAGAGAGAGAGAGAGAGAGAGATTGAGAGAGAGTGAAGGAGAGAAGGAGAGAGAAATGGAGTCTTGCTTTTGTTGCCCAGGCTGGAGTGCAGTGGTGCAATCTCGGCTCACTGCAACCTCCACCTCCCGGGTTCAAGTGATTATCCTGCCTCAGCCTCCCGAGTAACTGGAACTACAGGTGCACACCACCACTCCCAGCTCATTTTGGTATTTTTAGTAGAGATGGGGTTTCACCATGTTGGCCAGGCTGGCCATGACCTCGTGACTTCAGGTGATCAGCCTGCCTTGGCCTCCCAAAATGCTGGGAATACAGGTGTGAGCCACCATGCCCGGCCTCTACATATATTTTTAATTCACAGAGGGGTAAAGAAGAAAATGACAAAAGGCTACCGTCTCTATGCCTAAATAACTCCTGTTAAAAGTAATGCAGGTGTAAGATTAGAAAATTCAAGCAGTACGGGAAAGTGCAAAAAGAGAACTAAAGGCCTCTTCCCAATGCTACTTTTATCTTACCCCTCTGTGTGGAGGTAATCAGTGCTAAAATGTCTTGAGATTCTTTCAGAAAAAGTAAAAAAAAAAAAAATCTAAAGTTACATGTTGGTATATAGATGTTGATAGTGTGATGATTGGCAGTTGTAGCAGCAACAGCAACAAACCCAATGAAGTCCAGGGACGTCATGAAAAATGAGAGCTTTCCCTGTTGGCAGGTAGACCTGAGCAAGTTCCGTCTATCATGTGGGCTTTTTCTCTCTTCTTCATGGTTGAAGCTGCATCATAACACATACCTGTTGTGACTTGTGAGAAGGGAAGAAGGGGAAGAAATTATGGTACGCCCGGAGCTTTCTGGAATGGGTCTACTGACTTTCCTGTGGACAGAACTCAGTCCTGTGGCCAACCCAAGTGCAAGGAAGGCTGGGAAATGTCACTTATCCTGTACCCAGGAAAAGGAGAGAACAAGTTTTAGTCCCACCAGTGGTCTCTATCAGAATTTCTACCTCTGCTTAATTTTTGCCCACCGAGCACAAAAGGGATTCTACTTCACACAGCCACAAACCCTGTTCTAAACTTTGCCTTGTTTACTTAATAATAGAGCATGGAGATCTGACCACAGCAAAGGCATACAGATGGGCTTGATTCTGTTCAGTGGTTTCAGGATATCCCACCCTGTGCATGTACCATGTCTCTTTTATCAGTCTTTAGGAATGGACCCTAGGTGAATTTTCATTTTTAGTTTTGCAAATGATGCTGTAGATCACCTCTTTGAACATACATTCGAGCCTATATCCCGGGTTACCTCCCTATCAGTAAGACTGCTGGCTCAATGGGTATGTGAATTTAAGTATTGGATATCATTGCCAAAATTGTTTTCTGTTTGATTATAGCAATCTTAAACCCCCCAAGAGGATTTCAGAGATCTTTTTCACTTTGCATAAAATCCTGTTAACTTTACTTCTTGTCACTCTGATATGTGTAAGCATGTATTCTTGGCTGTTATTGCCCAGGGAGTGCTAGAAGCAAAATACAAGATGAAAGGTTAGGTGACTTTCATACTCCACATCTGGGCCCTTCTAGCGCCATCTCCCAATACCTGGGAGGGCAACGTCTGGGAGGCCTACCCACCTTCAGTGTGGCAGATGGGGCAGTCAGAATTCTTCTGAAGATAGTGCTCCCAATAGCTTCAGGTAATGGCACAGAGTTGGCCCTTGGATTAAAATCACTTGGCTAGCTCTGTCTCA